TCCACCCGTCCCTCTTCTTCTCGTGCTCCCTCACTGTTCCCCCCCGCCCCTTGCCCCCAGCCTGTAGTTATCTTTCTCTTGTTCTGTCTCCCCCCCCCCCACTCCCCTTTTCTCTCGCTCCCAGTTCTCCATTAAAAAAACATAACGGCATCTCTAAACCATATGCGTGTAATTTTACCCCATTTTGATCAAGGCTTCCCCACCTCCCTCCGCCTTTCCCTCCTCCTCGTGCTCCCAACAAATTGTCAGCAGCAAATCAACCCCCGGAGCTCCGTTGGGGGTAAAGCCATTGCTCTGATTTGATTTGTTATTTAGAATCCCCGATGAACGAGGGTGGGGCTTGCTTTTATCAGGTTATAGGTGAATCGGAGGGACGTTTGTAACAAAATGTTCGAGGCTGCCCACAGATTTGAATACAGTTACTCGCAGGCTGTCCCCAGATACCGCTCGGAGCTGTTAATTACAACAATCCATATTTCATTTTTAAATGCAAGACATCTGGATAGGCTAGCTTGAGAGGTTTCTCTCACCAATCTTCATCATCCCGTGATCTACCCAGTGCTGGATGAGGGCCTCTCCAAGCTCGCTGCCACCTCTCACGATCCTGGATCCTGCGACATAATAATCCACCTGGCGCCTGCCCATGAACTGATTCCATCGCTCCATCTCTTGGGTAGACGTGCCCCACCGGACGCGGCTTGTCCCGCTCCCCTTCTCACGCCTATATTGGTACGTTCGTGGCAATTAGATATTTGTAACAAAAAATTTCAAACTTTTTTATTTTAGGCCTTTGTTTTGGAGAGCTCAGATGACTGCATCGATTTCTACCGAGTCAAATGCATTCTCATATACGACAGCGATGGGAACAATGGTGGTTTTAAATGAGTCGGGTTGGTTCGTGAACGTCTCTCTGCATGTGGTCGATGGTAGAGAAACCTTTCCTAAACCCTGCTTGCACCCGTGGTGGAGTTGGCCTCTAACTTGTTTTCCAATCATCTTCCTGAACAATTTTTACACGTGCGATAAGCAGGTGATGGGTGTCTAAGCCAGTTTTATCTTAACGAATGGCATTTTTATTTTCTCCGTCAACGTTACGTGAACAAGTCTGCTAATTTAACACGTAGGCTATCGCGACCAATATCATCCGACAGCCTGATGAAGCAAGTTGCAATTACCGGCGAAACGACGTACTCGGATTGTAAATGTTGTGGCTTGGCTCTCCAACACACCGGTGTGCTGTACTAGTGACGAATTGGCACGTTCTGTTTACGTGAAAACCTTTACTAGTTGGCTGTGTCGGGTGGTGGCGGGGTTTCACGACACATTTACGAGATCTAACCCAAAAACTTCTATTATGGAAGTCTGCTAATGTTGTCCCAGTAGTTGATGAAGTCTACAGTTTCACGATCCGGCCTAGGAGCGTTCCTGTGTAGCATTCAACGAAGGGCAGAGTTGACCTCTCCAAATGTGGCACCTGGAACCCTCCTCTTCATCAGAAAATGTTTTTATTCCTGGGTTGTTATATACTATAGAGATCTGAATACAACTCCTCCACTCATGTTTGACCATACTTCACCACGCCAGCCCTCTGCAGGTTGGTGAAGAAAACGCGCGCTGCCTTGGCTCCTGCCGAGTACCTCATGGGTGTCTATCGAGTGTTCTATGGCTACTGGTCTCTTCTTTCTCTCAGATATTCATACTTGTAAGTTGTTGATAACGTGCTTACATTCTGTCGCATATAGTCGACAATTCCAGAAAAGCTCCTGACATTTTTCGTCACGCATCCTTAAGATACTTCAGCGATTAAAATTTGGTTTAGTATTCTAAAAAGGTATCTTTAAAAAAATAACATTCTAAAGTGATTTTTTTTTTGCACATTATTATGTTTTCAACCAAATGGCATTTCTTCCATCCTGTCAAATACTGCATACCTAATGTCTTCATTACCAAGACAGTGCATAACGAGTTCATGTACTTAGCTGATGCTGTCTCTAGTGCCACCCCCTCCGACTCTCATCCCTGCGTGTCATGTGACCACGACAGCCACAATGCGGTGCAAGACATTTAACTTAATTCAAGTTTTGAAGAGAGACAAAAAACGAAGGCAATGTTCTGTTCTGTTTCAAGCATGTCAGCCTATTCGGCTGGATCTGAAGAGTGAAAGATGATAGCTGCGTGTTGGCCAGGTCCGAATTTGAAGTGGATATTCGGTGTACTGCTTGTTTGTTTGTTTATGCATCAATCTACCCACGTGACAATATGACCAAGTCCTGGGAGTGCGCTTCATTGTTATACGCCTACGCTCCTCATACTCCTTCTAGCGTGTGCGAGGAGTGTTTTGCGCCTTGGGGAATCCCAGCAGGACCTTTTCGACAAGGAACTTGTGATGTGTTTTTTTTATCATTTCACATTTGCATTATTTAAAAAAGAAAGTCGTATTTTTTGTTGTTGCATTTTTACATTCGGTTATGTCAGACTTCGCTCTGGGAGCGGTGTCCGAGGGACGTTTTGCACCGCGCATGATTTTAGTCCCACCGTATGTAGCTAACCGTGCTGTCATTGGTCAATGGGTTTGAGTGTGGTCCCTAGCTCGACTCAGATGAAACTGAATGCTTGGTGGTGACGCTGCCTGGTTTTTCATACCAACCTTGAAAGGTGTTCCCTACCAGCACTTGCCCCGTAAATCTATCCAGGTTTAAAGGGTGCCTTTGTGAGCGCTTGGTTTCATGTGTTTGTGTTCATGTGTGAGTTGGGCGGGTGTGCATGCACACCATGGGCGCCACGGTGGCTAGGAGATGTTAACTACCTCGCCTGGTATACAGGAGGTCGTGGGTTCGATCCCGACCCTGACGCCTGCTGTATATTTTGGAGTTTGTGTGTCTCTCATCATCATCACCTTTGCGAGATGTTAACTACCTCGCCTGGTATACAGGAGGTCGTGGGTTTGATCCCGACCGTGACGCCTGCTGTATATTTGGAGTTGCGGTGTCTCTCTCTTGCCCTGTGATCGCGTGGATTTTTCTCCGGGCCCTCCGGTTTTTCCCTCCACACGACGTGCGTTTCGAGTATTTGGCTGCAGTACATTTCCACATGGTGATAAGCAGCCGCTTCGTTGAGCTATCATTTGTGATAGCCAGGTCGCTTCTGAAGAAGAGCTACACAGCTCAGTGGGACGTTACCCGGTCAAAATAAAAAATAGTTTTGTTTCGTTCAACTCTTAAGACTGGTAGAGCATGTGTACACTTCACCTGATGCAAATGCAGGGTTGAGTCATACGAGGTAAGGCCCAAATCAGGCCCAAATGCCAATTGGCAATGGTGCCGTGATTCACAATATAATTTATCTTATTCAGGTAATTGGAGCTGAGTTTCATCAGCCGAGTCTGTTCCGACTTCTGTCTATTCATCTGTTCAGCGTAATTGGTGGCGTCCAAATGTTGTTACGTGCACAAATGAAACGAAATGCTGTACCTCCGTTGCGGAATGGTGGCCCCAATAATGATTACATTCACGGAAATTATATTGATTTGAGGAATTGCAGACTTGTGAGCCTCTTGGCAAATGTTTTCAAATTGTTCGTGAAGGTTGGGGAACAAAATAATGGTCAATTTAAAGGCCAACTTCAACCACAAGGGAAAGCCAGTTTTGGAAAATGTCTACCATTGACGTTTTAAGCAAGACAATATGGAAAGACCATGATATGCCGCCGCTTTTGTAAGCTAAGAAAAGACCATTTGATTCCGAGGACGCTGACGTAACCATCGAAGCTTGCAGATGTGTAGGCTGCTTTATATTTGGAGTTTGCGTGTTCTCCCCATGGCCGCGTAGATTTTTCTCCGGTCCTCCGGTTTTTCCCTCCACATTTCGAATCAACGTGCGTTTGGAGTATTTGGCTGCAATACATTTCCGTGTGATAAGCCACTTGGTTGATCATGAAAAGTGCTAACTTAGTGGGTCTTACTTGGTTAAAAAAAATTGTTTAGTTTATAGTTTAATGTGCGTGCACAAGTGGGGAATGGTAGTTTAGTGGTTAGTGCACTGCGCTATGAACACGGTTACCCGAGTTCGATTTCCACTCACGACCAACAACAGTGGTAAATATTTGAACCGGTTCTGGCCTTCCTCTCAGTCTGTTCAGCCTTAAATGAGTTGCTGGTGCGGTGTGTAAGCATTAGCAATGGGGAGACAAAGGCGGCCGGGCGTGGTGCTGGCCACCCACCCGCATTGTGAGCCGTGCCGGCCTTCACAGGTGCTGCTACTCGCTAACAGCACTTGCCCCAGCGGTTTGTTAAAGGCTATACGGAGGGATCTTTGGCACCTGAATATGGCCACGTGTGTTTCTACGTAAGGCTACGTGTTACTGTCGAGGTTCCCAACCGTTGCTTGTCGTGTACCCCCATCATCGTTGGCGTAGCTCTACCAGCAGATGCATTCGATATTTTAACAATTTTTTATACTGCACAGACGCATGTGCATGTATAAGCCATAAACAAAGGGACAAAGACAAAGACCTCCCCTATAACCTCAACAGACTGTTGAGGTAAGTGCTGTTAGCAAGCACCTACTGCAAATAAGGAAAAATAAAATTAAATTTAAATTTCTCTTCAAATTATAAATACAGAAAAGGCTCCATGGGGAATGGAGGGTTAATCAAATGTGCAGGTTATCTGAGACTTTCACGCATGGTTCACCACATTTCCCGAGTATGTAAAACTTTTACAGAAAGTAACTAAGCCAGTGTTTTAACTAATGATATAACAAACAATATACTCTTTTTACAGATGCACTCGCCAGTCATCTTGTAGAGCATTCTAAGTTGATTGTAGAGAAGCAGTGGGGCCATTTATCTGAAAGCGCCGTGCGACGTGGCGACCGTCTTTGTTCGATGGCTTCTACCAAAAGGCCGCTGCGACGAGGTTGACCGGCGTTCGCGTGATGGTTCATATGCCTCTCGTTGTTGTGTCATGGGTTGTTGTTGTCTTTGTTGTGCTTTCTCTGTAGAAGAAGGTGGTCGAGCAATTAAGAAAGGACCTGGTGAACAAGCAGCACCAGCGGCAGCACGGAGCGAGCGGGGACGTGCAGCCGCATGCAACCGTACGCGATCGCGTTCCGCCGCACGCCGTTTTCACTCGCGCCCACAATGCAATGCAGACGAGCGTGCTCGGTCACGTGCAAGTCGCACAGATGCACGCACACGCGCCTGGCAACGTCGCAACCTTTCGATTGATTAAAAATCATCAAGCGATTTTAATCACCAGAATCATCTTTTCTTAAGCGGATGTCATTTTCTTGTACAAACTTTGCTTTTCGTGCCCCATTAAGTGAGGAAGTGTGGACAGATTATTGGCTGGTGTAGGAAGTGACATTTGGCAAACAAGGGAGACTAGGCACTCGGTTAGAATGGACTGAAATAATCATTTCAGGACGAGTTTAGACTGTAAGAGGACGACCTCTCGGCATCTTCACTTGGACTCTGAACTGGCAAAGTAATTTCAAGTTAAAGAGTGGTAAACGTTTGTGAGGATTGCCACTTTCCAGGTGTCAGCGAAGTCAACACATCTATACGGGCAGATTACCTAACGCCACTGTGCCCTTAATCGACAACTTTTTAACTTTTTACTGTATAACCATCATTGAATAATCGGAATGGGATGCAACCTCGCTGGGTGGTTGTTATTTAAATTTTGTCAGAGCCACAGTGGGCTAAATTGACCCAGGCTTTGGAACATTCTGCTCCACAAATTAGAGATTTGTCCAAGGTGTAGTTTTTTTAAGAGCAACTCAAAATTAAGGTTTACTGAAATAATATTTTGCTCACTTGGGATAAATAGTGATTCGGCCCGGGGAGACGCTTTGCCTTTGTCCCGACGAGCGTTTAAACTCATGCCTTGAAGACGAACGAATGTCCCCCTTTTGCAGAAGATGGTGTCACGGCCACCTGTCGCGATCGCCATTCCGCTGGTAAAAGGCGGCTCCCACAACGCACAGCAGCAGCAGCAGCCGCCACCACGGCAGGTCGCTCCAGTCGCCCCCGTCGCCCTTCTTGCTCCGGTTGCGCCCGTCGCTCCCGTCGCGCCCGTGACCCCAGCGGCGGCGACGTCGCTAAGTAACGGGCAGAAGACCCCGCCGCGCGTCGAAGCGTCGGCGCAGACTTCTCCCGGCGTTCATGCAGCACCGCATAGGAGCAAGCAGGTGGGCACGAGCACAGGGATGTGTTGAGTGCGAGAGCTATTCTCACTTGAGGCCGGTCTGAAATGGCGCGTGCAAACATTGATCAATTTCAGACATTTCACAACAACAACAACAACAAAAATGTGACTAAAACCGCCTGTCTGCTCTAAACCCAGACTGGATTTCAATTAGGCACACTTCTCTTTCTACATTTGGCAGGTGTGTGTAACCCCTTCACTCATTTATCATGTCACCCAAGGTAATTTCGTTTAAAAAAAAGTTGTGGTGAATGTATTACCTGTGTGCGCACTGCTTGGACCATGTCACCCAATTACATACAATGAATTTTAAATAATCGATCTTTACACAAACGATTTGACGTTTGCATCATTTGCGTAAGAGTGTATCTCTAAATCAATGCTTCATTACGTGCCTCATGTTAGCATATTCCTGGCGTCATTGGTAAACAGCTCCCACTGGGAATGCTCCGTAAACCTATCCATCTACAATCGCCACACCCTCTACCGTTCCCCTTCCTCACCCCTTGTTTTTCGCGAGGGGCACTTGGGACGTTACGGAGGTGCTCGCGAATAGCAAATTTCGCGTATAATTATATTGACCGTAGCATCATCGTAATTTTATCACTTTATCTCATCACATGATCTCATCACTTTCTCGAATCACAGTCTCTCTCATCTCATCGCTTTCTCTCGATGCAGTCGTGTAGCGTTCCGGATGCAATTCACGAATATGAAGTTTGTGACTAACGAGGGAATGCCGTTATGTTTTTTTCCCCCCCACCCCCTTGCTTCACAGGCTCAGGTCGGTACTTCCCAGGTGCCTTTGCGAATTCCACAATTCCCGGCAGTGCAGAGACTCGTGGGTAAAAGTCTTGCCATACTTCCGGAGGTAATATTTTAAATCTCACACACACACAATGTGCGTTCATTTCATGAAGCGGTCATGACAAGGCATTAGCCGTGAGCTGGAATTGTATCGCTGTAGTTATTGACATGTGAACCTTATGGCGGTACCCCAGGGTAATAACACAGCACCCCGGCTCTCGCACAATGTCCGTGATGCAGTCATGTTTAGTCTGTTGATGGTCGACGATGCGGCAATCGGCTCATCTCAACGAGCTGTACACGATGCACCGCTACGGTGCGTACCGCGAGCGTTCAGAGTTTCAGCGCTATCGTCCTCGCTGAGTTTCGACACCGCGCAGTGGCACTGATTTCGGATTGATTGGTTCCCCAGTCGTGGAGTTAAGTACACCCCTGGAAAAAATAGTATCACAGAAATAACACATTTAATTGCCTCGGCCAGTTTGTTTATTTTGTACCCCAGGGGTTACCGCCATAAGGATCATATAACCTTGGATAATCCTTTGTTATCCAATTGACAAATTATTGTTTTTAATGTGTGGGTTTGGAAGTCTTCACTGTGCTTCACACACAAGGCTTAGGAGTTGATTAAAGTGGCGTGTATCAGTCTGTAGCGTGTTAAACAAACAAAACACGCATGAAATGTCCTGTCCAATATTTTGTCACATCCATTCCCGTGCGATCATTCACCCACCCCCTACTTTCTCCAACTACCTTTTTCATGGTCCGCAGATCAGACCCAAGCCCCTGGCTTCATCCCCCAGTGCCCAGGAGAGACCGCACTGCAATGGCAAGAGCGGCAGTGGGGCTCATGCGCGTGCGCTGCACGCTCACGTCGCCAACGGCACAGCTGGCACGACTATCAAGAGCGGCTCCTCTGTGGATGAGGCCAAGGTGCGTCTGTGTGTCTGTGTCACCGCTACTTAGTGGTGCATTGCGGTTGTTGTTTGTTTATGGCTAGCGTAGCGGTTAGCGCACTGCATTGTGGAACCTGTCTACCCAAGTTCGATTCCCGCTCACGGTCAACACCAGTGGCTATCATCTGTACCGGTTCTGAGCCTCCCCTAGGTCGACTCGGCCTCAAATGAGTACCTGGTGCAGCGGTGTTTAATTATCGCCATTGGGGAGACAAAGGCGATCGAGCGTGGTGCTGGCCACCCACCCCCTTGTGTCCTGTTCTGGCCTTCATAGGTGTTCGCTAACAGCACTTGCCCCAACAGTCTGTTGAGGCTATAGGGGGGGGGGGCCTTTGTCTCGTTGTTATGGGCTTATACATGCACGTGTATCTGTGTTCGAGTGCGTGTGTCGAGTTAAAGAGTTTCACGTGAAACATTTCACGTTTTTTTTTTTATAGCAGAATATCTATTTGTACTGGAGCAAGCCGATAAGCTATAAAGCGCTTTCACAGATGTCCAGTAGGGGCACAGGGGTAGAACGTTACAACAACAAGCAATACAAAAACACGATAGGAGTGCAAAGTATAGGGAAACTGAGGAAATCACACACACAAAATTCATATCAAACAAAACAAGTTCTCTTTTACCAAATAATACCCCCATGAGCTATTAGCTTATTTTTCACAAGCGACCTAGCCACAATTGAAGGCTCAACGAAGTGGCTTATCACGTGGAAATTTACGACAGTCAAATACTCGGAACGCACATTGATTCTAAATGTGGAATGGAAAAACCGGAGGACCCGGAGAAAAATCCATGTGACCCGGTGAACCCCCCGGTTTGGGCGTTTTCGGTTAGCGCCGTGCACCGTGAACTCCCTCACTTTGGTTTCATTCCTCACCGGCCGTACTCCCTGCTTTTGTTGCATTTCTCCTGCTGCTTGAAAGCGCGGCTCTGCTGGTCCCGAAGCGGTCCCATTTGGCATTCCAAGATCGGCTCGAGGTGCAGATCCGCGAGGCTCTGAAATTTCGGCCGCCCCCTGCTTCATCATCCACCCGCTAATTTGTTTTGAACAAAGACAAATGCGGGCTCGGTGTAGGATAGGCTTTTTAAGGAACAACATCTTGTGTTTTTTTACTTTTCCACCATGCCACTTTTAACATAAACGTGGCCGTGGAGTTGAACTTCCCATATACTAAAGGTGAGTAAAAAACGTCGTCATCAATCGGAGAACGTGTCGCCGTACCCGCGCGTGATGTTACGACTGGCTCCGAGTTTCGGCCCGGGTTGAAGCGTGCAGCCTCCCCTATGAAATGTTTTTGCGGGCCTGCTTTGAGGGCTCACGCGGTGTCCAGTCAGCCCACAAGGGCTGCTGTGGAGGAGCCTGGGCCAAGTGAGAGTTGAGTTTTAGTCTGTTCAGTTTATTGAGCCAGTGGGCCAGGATTGGGCAAACTTAGCCCCCACTTTTCACCCGGGGCAGCTGGAGAGAGCAGCACAGACTTAAGTGCATCTAGCCTAACATTAAGACTAACAATAACAAATTTAAGAAATCGCAGTTCAGAAAAACGTATGCAGTATTAAAAATAATAATTAAAATAAGGCTTCCAGTGAGCATGCAAATGCAGCACTTGTTAGTGAGTGTGTGTGCCAATATCAAGAGGTGTTCTCCAATAGTTGACTATGCTGACAGTCTGTTTACAAGGTTTAAAGTTGTTTTTTATGTTACGTGTAAGATGATGTATTTAATTTAAGATGTTATGTTTCAGCAATAGTATAGTTGCACAACATGAATTACAACCACGTAGTTTTTAATTCTAATTCATGTACACCACATTGGCAATTGATTCCTGAACCAGGTTCCATTCTTTCTTTGGGTGAATTGGCTTTATATAACCTGTGATCAGAATCGACAGACTTTAGACAGTACTGCCAGCATGGCTTTTAGCCACACAAATCCATGTGGGCTGTGCCTTTAGAGGATCTGTCGAGCTAAATTAGAAGTCTCTGTGTACCTGTGTTTGTTTTGGTAAAAGCGGTGCAAATGGAATTTATATATCATTTAAATGCAACATTTTAGTAATATCTTGTGTCATTAGCGGCAAAGACTGGTATTAAAAGTACATTTGGTGATATGGAGCAGGTGCAAGCAGACGTAATGTAATTATGAACAACAGGATATTATTATTATTTACTTACAGTATGTGAAACGTTGCTTTGATACCAAATTCGTTTGACTGCATAAAAACAGTCTTTATAGGTGATTTTTTTTGTTTAAATCACACACACACTGCAGTTTACAGGAAGCAATTCGAGACGATGTGCGTGTCGGGAAATTAGCAGAAAACTGTTGACGGGACATCCGAAGGAGAAATCGGCGCACAAGCAGGGATAGACAACCAAAGCACCTGCACAGGAGTGGAAGCGTCTGTGGCATGGACGGCCAGCAGATTGGTGACACCAACGTCTGGAATTCAAACGTTGGTGTGGGGGGAGCTAAAAGGGTTTCCAAGTTCCATCATGTGCGGGTTAACAAGAGGCTGAGAGGAAGGCAGCGGTCACTGGGTTTTGGAGGCTCTATGATAAGGTTCCACATGAGATCACATTGGATTAGGGTCGCAGGGGTAACTTGGGCGATTCTAATGAGCACAATATTTAATGTGTTTCTCTTTTGAATTGGAACTTTGCGACGGAGATTGAATGCGTGCCTGCGTCTGTGAACGCATGATTATGTGACCGAGTGTGCTGGCGCTAGAAAATGCGCATAAATTGGCAGCTGTGTTATTGTCAGAAGGGGTAAAGCCTTTTCTTCTTTATATATCAAACTGACAGCTGTTGTAGGAGCGTTATGCATCCCAGCAACCAGGGTTGAATATTGGCCGTGATCAACGCGAGTTTTGATGAAACTGCTGATTATGTGCCATATGGTCAACATCGGAACAGCTTTTTGTGTGTTCGTTTATTGTCCTTTCCCCCGCACCTCCGATTAGCACGGTTGGCTACGTACAGTGCCAAAAAAGTTTAACATATACACACGCACACACAGACCATGTCGCGGAGACTAAAACAGCCAAGCATTGTACCCTGCAACTAAAGAGAGAAGATCCTTGTTTTCTGTTTTAATATGTTTCGTGGCACGCGTGTGCGCGTGTGTGTGTGTGTGTGCGCATGAATGCCCGCAGCCCACGCCGACAAGAGTGCAGGTGGCCCCAGGAAGGGGGCGGCTAGACGGCTCCTCCAACCACGGCCCGTCGCCCCATCACGGCACGAGCGCTCATGGCCGGTTGCCGCCGCCACTGCCGCACGGCATGGTCCATCACGCACGCTCCAGGATGTCGGACAGCGCCGAGGTGAAGCCCCAACGTCTTTGGTGGTGTATGACACATCAGGCTTGTTTATAAAAGACGAATTCTGCATCAGTTGCAGTGGGTGGACGTGCCTTCGCATCTGCAGATCCCACGGTGTGGAATGCCAAATTAAATGTCTTCCACTATTTAGTAAACTTTTAAAAACCTTGTTTTTAACACGCTTTTATTTAACTCACTCTGTCTGTTGTTGTTGTTGCATCCTCAAATCTTGTAACTCAATTTTTACCCACTTCCCAATGTGGTATCGACTGCAAACTTGGTATACTTATGTCATACTGATGACAATACTATATTCTATCATAAAAATTTAAATTTATATTTTTAAACATTCTTTTTTATATGTTATGTTTCGGCTTGGGTCTAATTGCCCATGCTCAACTGACGTTGGCTGTAATCGCCCACGGTCCCTTACATTGTGGCAAGCTTCGGGGCCACTTCCTGGAGTCGTGGAGTTCTGCCATTACTAGTACATTTCATTAAAGCGTGTTTAAAAAAAGTTTTTTTGTTACATATTACTTATTTACTTGGGCTAGGGCTCCGTGGTGGCGAGATGTTAACGTGCCTCACCTGCTATACAGGAGGGCATGAGTTCAATCCTGACCCTGATGCCTGCATATTTGGAGTTTGCATGGTTCTTTCTCTCCCCGTGGTCACGTGGATGTTTATCCTGGTCCTCCGTTTTTTCCCTCCACATTTAGAATCAACGTCTATTTTGACTTTGGCTGCGATAAAATTCTACGCGATTAGCCACTTCGTTGAGCTATAATTTGTGGCCAGGTCACTTTTGAAAAACAGCTGCGTATCTCAATGTAATTTGCCCGTATTGAAACGGCTGTACACCGTATGGACCTGATAACTCGAATTCCCTGCACAAGAATACGGATAAACCGTATGGGTTGACAGATATGACACTGTGTCGTCTGGCTAAAACTATTCGCCATGACATCTGGCAAGCTGTACTCTGCTGCAGAACGGGAATCCCACAACGAAATCTGTGCCTGGCTTTATTCCCCCATACTTTGGCCTGCTACAGATACATTGCCTTGTACCACGAGTTGCTAGTTGTAGTCGATGTGTGGGCTTGCGTTGTTGCGTGTACACATGCTGCACATTCATTGATATACAGAATCAAAATATGTATTGATTTTTTTATTGTTTTATATTTGTATTATTTTATTATTTCCCTTCTACGTGACTTTACCGAAAGAACCAAGAATATGTATTCATACTCGAGGAATCCGATGAACTGTAAAGCTCTTTTCCCACAGATGTCCGGTAGGGGCACGTGGTCAGAACGATACAACAACAAATAAAAAAAACACGGTAGGAGTGCAAAGGATAGGGAAGGTAGTAAAATCACTAAATTCTATTTTTTATTTTACCAGATAAAGCCCAATGAGCTTATTATCTTCTTTTTCAGAAGCAACCTGGCATGAATGTTACGTGCGTACGCATGCCTTAAGCATACACACGTAACATCTATGTGTATATGCATTCCTTACGGATACTCATACGCATGCATATGGTATGCATACATGTTGTTGGATTCAACAACATGTATGCATACCATGCATATGGTATGCATACATGTTGTTGGATTCAACAACATGTATGCATACCATGCATATGGTATGCATACATGTTGTTGGATTCAACAACATGTATGCATACGCATGCATATGGTATGCATACATGTTGTTGGATTCAACAACATGTATGCATACCATGCATATGGTATGCATACATGTTGTTGGATTCAACAACATGTATGCATACCATGCATATGGTATGCATACATGTTGTTGGATTCAACAACATGTATGCATACCATGCATATGGTATGCATACATGTTGTTGGATTCAACAACATGTATGCATACGCATGCATATGGTATGCATACATGTTGTTGGATTCAACAACATGTATGCATACGCATGCATATGGTATGCATACATGTTGTTGGATTCAACAACATGTATGCATACGCATGCATATGGTATGCATACATGTTGTTGGATTCAACAACATGTATGCATACCATGCATATGGTATGCATACATGTTGTTGGATTCAACAACATGTATGCATACGCATGCATATGGTATGCATACATGTTGTTGGATTCAACAACATGTATGCATACGCATGCATATGGTATGCATACGCATGCATATGGTATGCATACATGTTGTTGGATTCGTATGTTTGTATGTTGAACTTCTTCTTTCGCACCGTGTGTCGCCAGCCGCGCTATGTGGAGGTGTGCAGGGACACGTTGTAAAGAGGTTCAATGTTTGGCGTGTGACGCTTTGCCAAAGGACATCAGGGACTCGACCTCAATTGAGATTTTAAACGTTCCTATTTAAGAATGTTTTCTCCTTATTTTATCCTCGGCTCTTGCTTTTCTTTTACTATTATTATTAGAAGGATGTTAATCGCTAGGCTTTGATGCTTACCTTTTTTTAATGCGCTTTGCGTACAGCGCTCTCCGATCCACGGACGACGAGCGCTCTATATGTACGAGTCTAATTTATGATTATGTTTGATGCGCCGTGTTGATGATGTGCAGAAAGTTGCCTTCATGGTGGCTCTGGGTCTGGCCACACCTGAACACGTCGAGGGTAAGGGCTCCCAGAAAGCACGCTTGTCATTGCAGGCATGCAGCACACACACGCATGCAGCACACACACGCATGCCCACACACACGCATGCCTACACACGCATGCAGCACACACGCGCATGCCTACACACACGCATGCAGCACACACGCATGCCTACACACACGCATGCCTACACACACGCATGCCTACACACACGCATGCAGCACACACACGCATGCCTACACACACTCACTCAATCTGTAATACACACGGCACATGCGTCACGTAGCCTTGTGCATGCTGTTCGTGAGCATCTCGGAATCCCGCGTTCGTCTCACCCCTTGATTTATTTTGGCGAATAACTTGAACTCCGCCTCGATGTGTGTGCATTGCCTCCGCCGTGGCACGCGCGTTGAGGTTTACACTTCGATACTCTAATCATTACTAAATTATATTATATAATCTTCACGTAAATACCTGCGGTTGTAGTTGTATTTGAGCTCGTTCAAACGGCTGTCTTTACTTCTTTAACAATGGATAATAACGTTTACAGAAACCCTCTATTTTACAAATGTCCATGTTTTGTATTCGGAGCCTATATATCTTAGTGCACCCCAATTTGTATGTATGTTGAACTTCTTTCGCACCGTACGTAGCCAACTGTGCTAATCAGAGGTGCGGGGGGAAGGACAACAAACTAACCACAACAAGCTGTTCTGATGTTGACCATGTGGCACATAATCAGCAATTGAAAGCACGCGATCCCGTGACCGCCTTGGTTCGATGGCCAGCCAAAAGCCGCTGCGAGGATGACCAGATATGAAAGCAGCAACCTGCGTTCTATCCCCCCGGCCACGGCTAACACGAGGCCGTGCCCGATAAGCAAACTAGTCCTGGGCCTAACCTTCACTAACTTACACTGACCAGCGTGGTGAAGTATGGCCATACAGCGCAAATGACTGACACGGAGTTGGGGTGCCTTCTCACCCCCTTAGTGAATTGGCATAGGGCTGTAACTTATTATAAATCCCCGTGAGCTAACTCGGCTGCTTGAGGTTGATATAACGAATGAGCAAAGCGTGCTATCTGCGTTAAAGTGCAGGTAAATGCAATAGTGTCTTGGCTTTAATTGTAGATTTCTTTCAATTCATGGCTTTACTTACACATTTTGTCGTGAGGTGACCTGTGACGACGCTGCCAAATGCCACGCTCGACTTTCTTGAAAGATGCCCTGTATATAAAAAAAGAGAGAGACGCGCCAATTAAAGAATAAATAACACGCTCACTGCGTTGTGTGCTACGTCGCCAGAGCTGCAGAGCCGGCGACAGGAGAGAAAGCGACGAACGACAGCCAACCCCCTGTACAGCGGAGCGTACTACGAGCCCGAGTGCAAGCGCGGGGCAGCCAGCTACCTGAGCAGCAGCTCCTCCGCTCACCATACAACGAGGAGGCGAGGTGTTTGTCGCAGGCAGTCACTCTGCAACACCGCTGCTTACACTGCGCAGAATCGCAACGGGTGACGGGGTGGTAACACGTGTGCGTCACGTGTTGACATCCTTTACCATGTTATCATCGTTACGAAAGTAAAAATAAAGACTGTGCACGACCACACCGAAGTGAACACACAGTCCCTCAATAAAATTGCACATTGAAATTGAACTATCGATACATGGGTCAGGATCAAAGTTACAAATCGCACGTGCTAAATGTGGTTGTATCCAGCACTAATCTCCTGCTTCAAGAAATGTTTTTGAAGGAAGATTTAAGATGTTCTTTGGTGGGGTAACAAGGTGGTCCCAAAACGTCGGTGCTGCAACGGAAATACACAACCTGCCCCTTGGATTTGAGCCGAACCGATGTGCTTAGTGAGCCTAAGAGTGGAGTTACGCTTTTCCACACAGCGTTCCGCTCTGCTCTTTAACGCATGCGATGATCGTCGGCGGTAAACGGCGCAAACGTAGTGCAGTGTCGCCTGCAAGTCATCAGAATCGCAGGTTTTTTGTGACGTGGAAACGTTTTTTTCCCAGAAAGTGCTTTTAACAAATTTGAGGTTTTTTTTGGGTTAGATCGCGTAAATAAATAAATAAATGTGTCGTTAAACCCGCCACCACCCGACACAGCCAACTAGTAAGGTTTGTCACATGAACAGAACGTGCCAATTCGTCACTAGTACAGCACTAGTCTATAGTGTATAGTAGTGTAGTGTACTAGTACAGCACTAACCGGTGTGTTGGAGAGCCAAGCCATAACATTACAATCTGAGTACGACGTTTCGCCAGTAATTACAACCAGCTTCATCAGGCGACAGCCAGATTTGTGGAGAGTCCACCTGTCTTGTTCCTTCTATAGAGGCATAGATGTGGTGACCACGCTTCTGCGCTCTTGCGCAAAGTGGGGGATGGGGGGGTTTAATGTTTAAATATAATTCATAATATGAAGTCTTACACAGCGGTACTGGTCGGTAAATGTGGGATTTTGACTTCCCTGCGATGGCCATTTCACAACTCGACAGCTTCTATTGAGCAATAACTTGCCCGAGGACTGCGGAGCGTATGGTCCTATGTAATTTGGCGGTGTTGTAAATACAAGTGGGATACGGTATTCTTTATGTACATATTGCGTTTATATTAATGAGCGATGGAGACAATAACTGTTACACTCATACTCATCTTATTACCATACAGCAAATTTATATTTGAATTGCATGTATCGCCTAGCTGTATGTTAAAGTAATATAAGCCTTGGGGGAGCTGTATTAACTTTTTTTTTTAAAGAATATTTACATAAGGCAACTGTCATCTTAATTACTGCGATAACTTCAGGCTTAGAGAAAGCTCTCTGTTGCCTTCAATGTCACACAATTTTACTACACGAATGTACAAATGCGACAGTTTTTTTTCTCTCTTAAATTCAGTAAATGTCGCAACTGTGGTTGTGATGAGGAGGGGGATGTGTGTCGTAAGGCATTAAACTTACATCTGTGTGTGTCTGCACGTTTTTGTTTGCGTTCTGTTCCAGTTCCTGACGACCCTACGTGGCGGGTGAGTACCGTTCATAACTCACGAATGTCCCCGCTGTTGGATACATACAACAACCCAAGCTTAACACGTTACATATGCTGAGCTTAATACACAGCAAATGTGTGCAATGCACACGCGCACAGCACAGCCGCGTTCTTTTTTTCCAGAACATCCCGAATCGTGACGAAATTCTTTCCGACAAAGTTAATTTATCTGGGTTTCCTAGAATGATAACAGCGCATAGCAATGCTGGGCCATGCTCGTGTGCTACGCGTGGGAAACTCAATTGTGTTTAGTTTGCAGTATATCTGCATGCCCATGCACACAAGCGTGTACATTGCACGCAGCGTATGTGCATTGCTTTGCCTCTGTCTCCCTATGTGCAATATGTGTGTACTCTCTTGCATGCAGGAGTACATGCCCCATGTACATATGCGCGTGCGGGTGCTTCCGTGTATGAGCGGTCGTGCAGCGGTCGGCGTGCTGCGCTCCGAACCCGGCGACCGGAATTCGATTCCCTCTCACGGTTAACACCAGTGATAGCGATTAGCTGAGCCGGTCCTGGGCCTCCCCTAGGTTGACTAGGCCTGAAATGAGTATGTGGTGCGGTGTGTAAACATCGCCGCTGGAAAGACAAAGGCGGCCGGACGTGGTGCTGGACACTCGCCCCCTAATGTGCCTTGCCGACCTTCATAGGTGCTCACTAACAGCACTTTCCCCGACAGTCTGTTCAGGCTATACGGGGTGTCTTTGTATTTCTTTTGTATGTCTAAATGTACGTAGAACCTCCGTGTGTGTTTGTGGCCAAAGGCGGACGAGCGCGAGCAGCGCCTGCCACAGCGTTCCGTTAACGAGGCAACGCTGGGGGGATCTTTGTCTGTGTGCAGGCGGAGGCGGAGGAGTGCTGCTGTGTCTGCAAGCGGAGTGGGCTGCTCCTCACGTGCGACGCTTGCTCCGGCCTCTATCACCTCGAGTGCCTAGAGCCGCCCCTCAAGGCCACCCCACGCGGCGTCTGGTTCTGCCAAGAATGTCAGCAGCAGGCACGTGGCAGTCGCGGGGTTGGGGGGCGAGGGAGATGGGGGGGGGGGGGGGTCGGCGGGAGGTCGCGTTCCTCGAGCCTCGATCGGCTTCACTCGAAGACCGGGTTCAAGGCAACTGCTTGGGACCTAGGGGCCGCCGTACATGCCACTCGAGCCTTTGTGTGCGTGGTGGGTGGGGTCAGCGGTTCAACATTCCCATTGCGAACCGTGCATGGTGGCCCCCTTTGTCTGTGATCCGCGTGCAGAATCTCGCGTGGGTGTGATGGTAGTCGCGTACGAGGCGTTGACGATGATAGTCGCGTACGAGTCGGGCGTGTGCAATTCCCCCACCTTGTCTAAACCGCCACCAGCTCTCGGCAGAGCTGAACGCGTGGACGTATCGTTGCGATGCGGTGGTCACAGTACGCCAGTGTGTTGTTAAACATTCGTTTTCAGCCTTGCACGCTTATTCATATTGCTCTGGATTTTGTTGAAATAAGGGCAGCGAATCGTCGTGCGTTACCCATTGGAGGATCACCTATTTGACACACGCCTCATATTCAAGATGTCGTACGTGATTTCGCTCGGCACACGAATGCACCTGTGTGTGACTTGCACCGTGCGCGCTCGCACGCCTGTGTCTATGTGTGTGTGTAGGGGAGCGGTAGTGTAGCGGTTAGCGCGCTGCCCTATGAACCCTGCAACCCGGGTTCGATTCCCGCTCACGGTTAACACCAGTAAAGATTATCTGAATCGGTCCTTGGGCTTCTCCTCGGTCGACTCAGCCTAACATGAGTACCTGGTGCGGTGTGTAAACATCGCCACTGGGGAGACAAAGGCGGCCAGGGCGTGGTGCTGGCCGCCCACCCCCTCGTAGTGCCGTGCCGGCCTTCATAGGTGCTCGCTAACAGAGCTCGCCCCAACAGGCTGTTAATGGCTACGAGGGTGATCTTTGTCTTTGCGTGCGTGTGATGCGCGCACCTCTACGCGTGCGGCATTGCAGGGCTTTAAGAAGGACGACGCCATGCTGTGGCCGGAGACCCTGGCAGTGGTGCACGCGTACATCGCGCAGAAAACCAGTGAGCTCCCGGCCACTTGCCGCCATCGCACTCGCATCGCTCGGTGTCAAATGCCACATTTCCACTTCTGCCACTGAGCCTCGTGACTTTTGGCTTTTAACAGCCGCGTCAGAGCACGCACAAACGCCGTCACCGTCGGGTGTCTGTACACGTCTCCATGCGCGCGTGTGTGTGTGTGTGCGTGCGCTTGTGCTGTGTGTGTGCGCGTGTGCTGTGTGTGCCTTCTGCTGCTGCCGCCGCTGCTGCCACGACCTCCGTTGCTGCTGTTGCCGCCACTACCGCCGCTGCTTCTACTGCTGCTGCTTCTGCTACCGCCACTACCGCCGCTGCTTCTACTGCTGCTGCTTCTACTGCTGCTGCTTCTACTGCTGCTGCTTCTACTGCCGCCGCTGCTTCTGCTGCTGCTTCTGCTACCGCCGCTGCTTCTACTGCCGCTTCTGCTACCGCTTCTACTGCCGTCGCTGCTTCTGTTGCTTCTACTGCTTCTGCTGCTTCTGCCGCTGCTGCTTCTACTGCCGCTGCTGCTTCTGCTACCGCCGCCCGTGTTTCCCCGGTGCCCCGCGAAGCTAAAGAGGAGGAGCGTCGTCGCCTGCTGAAGCGCTCGGCCGAGCTGCGGTGCCAGTGCGAGGCGACGGAGGGACGCGTCTCCACCGTGGGGCTGCTTATCACGGTGCGCGCTCCCACGAGCTCCCCGCGGCGCACACAAAGACAAAGATCCCCCGTGTAGCCTTAACAGATTGTTGGGGAAAGTGCTGTTAGCGAGCACCTGTGAAGGCCGGCACGGCACACGAGGGGGTGGGTTGGCCAGCACCGCGCCCGGCCGCCTTTGTAGATGTTCCATAAATGAATATTGCGATGCGGTTCCACGATGTTGTCGTCTCATCCTGTTTCTTTTTCCTCCAGCCCTTGGATTCCCTCGCATCTCCCTCATGTCACGTTTTCAATCTCTCACTCTTGCCCCTTTGTCCTCTTTCATCCCTCATCAAAAAGCTTTAGAAGTTGTTCATGCCTCTTCACAAATCCTCAAAAATATCAGAATCTTTATTTCGACTGCAAGAGGAATCCCAGGAGCTATGAAGCTATTTTTTTTCCCCGAATGTCCAGTAGGGGCGGGTCATGAAGTTACGACAACAAACGATACACTCAGCCTCAAATGAGTTCCCGGTGCAGCGGTATGTAAACATCGCCACTGGGGAGACAAAGGCGGTCGGGCGTGGTGCTGGCCACCCACCCCTTGTGTACTGTTCCGGCCTTCATGAATGCTCGCTAACAGCACTTGCCCCAACAGTCTGAGGCTATAGGGGGGGTCTTTGTCTCTTTGTTTATGGCTTTTACATGCACGTGCGTCTGTGTTCAAGTGCGTGTATCGAGTTAAAGAGTTTCACGTGAAACATTTTTTTATCAGAATATCTTTTTGTACTGGAGCAATCCGATAAGCTATAAAGCTCTATCACAGATGTTCGTTAGGGGGCGGGTTGAAAAGTTACGACAACAAACAGTAAAAAAACACGATAGGAATGCAAGATTTAGGAAAGGTAAACTAATCACGAAAAAATTATATTTTTATTTTACCAAATATAGCCCACTGAGCTATTAGCTTTTTTTTTAGAAGCAATTTGGCGACGAATTATAGTGGCTTATTAGTTGGAAATTTATTGCGGCCAAATGGTATATGTAATCTAAGCGCATGTTTCTAAATGTGGAGGGAAAAAAACGGAGCACCCGGAGGGAAAAAAAAATCCACGCGACCACGGAGTGAACCCTCGCCACTTAAAATATTCACCAGTGTTGAAACCCCCATCGCTTCTCAAAACACTCCCATCTCTTCTCAACCCTCATTACTTTGTCATCTTATTGTGACAGACACGGCATCCCATGTGACTTGGGTATTATAATCCTTAAGTGATCGTAACTAAGACCTATTCTGTAGTTGTTACATTTTATATTTCCCAATGAGAATGTTCCCTATCACGTTTTAGTTTTTTTTTCCCCGCACTGCCTCGCAACGGAACGCTCTTAAACAAAACCGCCGCTCAAGATCACAAATACCCAACGGTGTTCTTCCCCACCTCCCCGCGCGCAGAAAAGCGTCGAGAGCCGCAGCGATCTCGTCGCCAAGGAGGACCAGAGCCGCGCTTCGCTGGAGAGGCTACGGACGCTGCTGGCTCTCGTTCAGGACTCGCGCTCGGCGACGGCTGCCTGCGCCGCCACGCTGGTGTCTCTGTGACGTACTCGAGCTGCGCGGACGCGCACGCGCACGCACGCACCACCAGACGCGAATTCACAAATCTCGGAGGCACGCACACTCGGGTAACACTTGCACAGTCACTCGTGCACACGGTTCGCTTACAGTTACAGTTGGGTATACGCGCGTGCGTGCGTGTGTGTGTGTGGCAGTCCCCGCACACTTGAGTGAGCTCGCAGATATGTGGACGCACAGGAATGCTTGCAACGGGCACGCCTACACAGGACACACCACATGAACACATACATACAAACAACCATGCTCACTCGTGTGTGCTTTGTGTAGTCACATGGGAGCACGTGCACAGGCGCTCCCGCGTACGCATGCATGAAAATGCTTGTACATGTATACATACACACACGCTCATGGGCACAAAACAAAGATCCCCCGTATAGCCTGGACAGACTTTTGGGGCAATTGCTGTGAGCGAGCACCTATGAAGGCCGGCACGGCAGGGGATGGGTGGCCAGCACCGCGCCCGACCACCTTTGTCTCCCCAGTGGCGATGTTTACACACCGCACCAGGTACTCATTTGAGGCTGAGGTGGCCTAGGTGAGGCTCGGGACCGGTTCAGATAATCGTCACTGGTGTTGGTGGCCGTGAGCGGGAATCGAACTCGGGTGGCCGGGTTCGTAGCGCAGCACGCTGACCGCAGCGCCAACGCTCCCCACACGGGCGGGCACGCACGGGCACACACGCACGGGCACACACGCACGGGCACACACGCACGGGCACACGCGTTCACACGCACGTTCACACACGCACGGTCGCACACGCGTCGGAGTGCGGTAACACCCGGCATGCACGCTTGCTCGCGTTGGGAAGGGCGCGAGCAAAGGCACGCCCAGGTGTGTGCTTGGTCTGTGAAGAGATGCAAAAAAAAAAAGTTTTAAAAAAATCCTCACAAAAATATATCCACCCAGTAGAAAGGGGGTGGCATTTGATGTCATCGTTATTTTACAAAGAGCTATTTCTATGAAGACACAAGTGTTAAAAATTACGAGATGGAGAGTTTAGAACAAACCGGCGGGGGGAGACGAAATGCATTATCAGTGCACACATTTTATATATACACACACACGTGTAGCTATGTACAAAATCGAAACGCTTGATTTAAAAAAGGTAATTTTTTGTGGTGGAAGGCAGAAACACTTATAAATTATTGATTATTTATGAGTCTTATTTATTAGTGGGTTTTTTTTACGTAACTTGATTTATTGTTCTCCGTGATGGTGCTTTACATGAAACAACTATGAAAGATAATTTTTATTTTTTACATTTTTAGCATTTTGCATGGGAAAGGGGAAGGTGAGGGGTAGGGGTTCGGATTTAATGGCCGAGAGAGAGAGAGAGGGAGGGTGTGTGAAATTTATTAATGACCTAATAATACATTGTTGCCATAGATACAGATTTATGTTGCTGTTAGTGTGAATATGAAATCTGCTGACAAAAGTCCCACTGCAGAGTTGCAAAAAAACTGCTTTAAATATAATATTAATGTAGTAAAAACCCTCCCAGTAATGAGGGGTAAGCCTCTTACCCCAAGTAGGCGAGTAAACCGAGGCAGGGAGAGTGACCAGTGTTACGTGAGCCGCCGTGCGATTGGCTCTCCCGCATCGTTCTGGCCAGTCGCGTTTGTCGGACACGGCGCCAGCAGGGTGGCGATGGGCTTGCGGCGAGACGGGGGCGAGAGTGTGCGTAGTTATTGACGTTATTAATATTACGATACGATTAATATTTCACGTTTTGATATTTTTGTTTCCCAGCCCCCCTTCTTCCCCCTGACAAAAATGGCTCCAGAGAACAAAATGACTGAAAGGAATAACAAGGAGTGTGCCCTTGTAACCGTCCGCATTAAAGGTTGCACGGAACGCGAACAAAAAACGACAAAAAACTAAAAATCCAAATGTATGTTTTCCTCGTACGTCTTTGTTACGTTTATTTATAACGCAGTGTTTAAATTTTGTTGTTGTTGGTATTTCTGCTGCTACTCCGCACGCTGGGCGGTGCGTTAAGCACGCCGGGCCACGGAGGTAACCATATCATAGATTGTTTCAATGCTCGAGTGATATCTGGTGGGGGGGGGGGGTGATCGATTGTTGTGATGGAGCAAATATCTGTTCGGTTAAACCACCAACGCCCCCCCCCCCACCCCTCCGTTCGGCTTGCCCACCACCCCATCTTCATACCACGGTTACGTTTCCACAACGACAGGCAGCTACCACTTGGATGAGCCACGGTGACGCTGCTCGTGACAGGGAGGTAATCGTCACGTTAAGCCTTTCCCGTTCCGATGACGTCTGCGAGTTGCAGCGCGGGGGTCCCGTTGACCGCCGAATCTCGGAACGTCTGAGCGGCCCGGCATTGACTTTACTTAGGGAGGCGGAGTAGCGCCGTTGTGTCTCAAGACGTCGTTACTCACCGCAGAAAACCATAGCGACACGACCGCCGCACTCTACGATTGCCGGCGCCAAACTGTGCCGCACGCCCTCCTGCATGGCCTTCTGGGAGCCTCGGTAACGATAAAGATATTTTATTTAAGTTTTTTTCTCGATGTATTTTTCCCCAAGTACTTCATCGGAAAAGAAACGGACGTACACACGTACACACGTACACACGTGCACACGTGCACACGTGCACACGTGCACACGTGCGTTCTCGGAATGGGAAAGGGTTATAATCGTAGTTCTGAAGCATACTTTTGAGGCGTGATGGAAGTCGAAGGGAAACGCAGGAGAAATGTACACCACCTCATCTCCGGATATCTCGTCTGCGTTGCTTGGATCTAATGCCACGGTCTGAGTAATGGGCACCCAAGTACCGGCGTTGTTTTGGGAGGTCTCGTGTCATGGCTTGAGTTGAGCGCTGCGTTGCCGAGTTGTCATTTTTTTGCTGCCGCCCCAATTTATGTTGAAGGGAATTTCAGTTGTTTTTTTTATTCCCTCCAGGAAAGCCTTAACAAAAGTGTACATTTATCTTTCAAAAGGGTTGCTTGGCGATGCCCAGGTCAGTTCCAGTTTAGGTACGTCTTTCTTTTTAACAAACATGACAAAACGTGGAGAAATTGGTGAAAGTTCATCACGCGCGCACGGGAAGGGGGGTTGGGGGGAGTTCTGTAAAACCAACGCGTTCGCTCGCTATCCTCCCGACAGGCTGCAGGTGTCTCTGCGCTCCGTGGCCCTCTCCCGAGATTCTGCATTGCAGGAATTCTCCGCCGTGCGGCTGGAATTCATCGTCACGCTTGTGTTACAGTTCTAAGTTAGGGTACCATACAGGGGTAATTCACACACGCGTGGGATCAATATAGTCTGCATTTTACTGAGCAGCTGTTGTTGAACAGTTTGACAGAGAAGGGGGGGGGGGGGGAGTGTTTGTGTTCGATACGAAATGCCTCGTTCTTCCCAGCCGTAGGAGAGGAAACATCCCGAAACATCGTACACGCCGTCAGTGCAACTGCGTGTTGGATGTAGATTCAAGATGACTAAACAACTCGGACGCGATCCGAGGTCCATCTCTACAACCAGCGTTAAAACAAAACGAAAATGATTGAACGTGAACTGGCTTCAAGATGCATCTTGAAGCATGTGTAACGTGACACTTGTTTAAACACACGCAATCTTGTCCCTCTCTAAAACATTAATTTTGTCTGTAAAATAAAAGTATTGTGGCCAAACAATTATCAAATTGGTTTGAACGTTCAAGAAAAGGTTTTGAAAATGTTTAACCCAGCCAAAAAAAAAGTGTGTACATTTTGCTACTTGTAATCTGCAGCCACTATGCTTGCAGGGTTTTAAAAGTGGACTTCACACCAGCGATGCGACTCATTAAGGCTTCGGTTGGGGGGTGTCGAAGGTGGTCATTGTCGGAGACGAAACCCCCCCCCCCCCCCTCCTTTGGGGTCCACGCTTGGGCCAGACGTGTCTGATTATCCCCACCTGGGGAGAGCGGGGAGAGCGCGGAGAGCGAGGCGGTGGAGCGGGCAACCGTTCGGGACCATTGTGCAGGCACGGCCCCATTCACGCGAGTCAGGAAGGTCAAAAAGAGCGTGGTGGTCGGCGTCTTCAGTCCGCAGTTGTGCATACATTCGTGTGAGCCCAACACGCAGGTTCCATAACTGGCGCGTACTTGGCAAATGACGCCTCTTGGGACTCCGTTTAGATCGGTTGCCATTCGGTGCACTGGGCAGGAGAGGTCAAGAGGTCATGAGCCTTTGCCCAACGAACTCGGCGAAGAAAGAAGGAATAGGTGAAAATTGTTGCCAACGTTATTAAAGATGACTTATGTTTTATTGTGGAGACACCTATGTAATGCGATTGTAATTGCATGCAAACTCATCGTGCGTTGCAGTGGAGCATTATGGGTACGAGCAGTTGTAAGCAGAACTCAATTCTGTCTCCACATACACGTAAAAAAATATATGGTCTGTCTATTAGCCTATCAGTTTTCCAGACCAATATTATCAACAACATTTGTTTAAACAAGCGAACTCTGGACCAGTTGTGTGTTTTATTTCTATGGGGGTGCGGGAGAGGGGGGGGGGAATTATAATCGTCACTGAAACATATATTCTGCGTTTGTTGACCAAGTGTGGGCACGGCTTCCCCCAATCAAACGACAGAGACCGGTTGGAGGCTTGTGCTGTGTGTCAAGCGGGAAGGCGTCACGCCTGCAGTGTCAGCTGTGACTTCAAGTTGTTTGTCGCGTGGACCGAGTGAGGAAGGGCCCCTGGGTACTTGGGGCCTGGCGAGTGGTGGGGGGAAGAAGCCAGCGCTTGGCTGCTTGGCGCACGGTGGTTTGGTTTTGTTTGTTGTCCTTGCCCCCCCCACCACACACCTCCGATTCGCACGGTTGGCTACGTACGTGCACGTAGAGGGCATTTCACGTTGAGGACTTGGCGTCTCTCGCTGATCAACTCGAAGGTTTCTCGTCTTTCAGGAGGAGTCAAACAAAATGCCGTTTACTTTGGTCTCTGTTATTAGAATCCGTTGATGCAAAATGAAGCAGATGGAATTAATTTACTTGCTTATCAAGTTCACCGAGCAAAACAATACTCCGATAACGAGCTGCACATTGTGAAATAGATGAAGTGAAATGTGGTTCCTCCGACTCGGCTTGAAGGTGCATAGAGAAAGAAGCGTTTGCTTAATGGCTGTGGATATTTTTCTGTTGGAAGGTTGCCTTACTGAGAGCAGCTGTAGGATGCAATGACAGCAGCACAGGAAAGTCATAACAATAATGTTTAGTTTTAATGGGGTGATTCTCTCCCCTTCGCATTTCTAATTCTTTGTCACGACAAACGTGGAATGCCATCCCCCCACAAATGAGGAGACTCCGCTCTTCAAAGTGCACTTTTCACAAGAACGACGCTCAGAATTTATGCCGGGATGGTCCCAGACGCAACGTGTACAGCTGTCTCTCCGCGACATATCGTGTGCCGGTTTAAAGGTTAACATTTCCATTGTCCGCTCGGCACGAGCACTGCCGCCACAGACGTCGATGGTTGAACAGCTGACCTCGACGACCAAGGTTGCACTATGAAGTCAAATGTCAACACGCACCGGCAAAGTATTCGGGCAACTCGCTAAATGGTCTCCGTCGTCAGGCCTGGGTACAGCAACTCAGTCGGTTGTCCAACACAGCTGTGCTTTAACAACGGGCCATGTAACTTTGCGTTTATCGCTGAAGCAATGGGGACAATTTCGAAGTTTCACCTGCAGCTTATGTTGGTCGTTTCACGTGGGTCTTGACGATTTTTATCGAAGGGGAAATCAAATTATCCCGAGGACTGCCCCAGGGTCATTTTCGTGGCACCGCCTTTGTGGCGAGCGGCGCAACAATTGCAGCAGCGTCAACTTAAACCTTAAATGTTTCTCCTCCGTGCCCTCGGCGCCCCCGTGTAGCTGTTCCGCACGGTGACCTCGTGCCATCGGCCCGCCGCGGGTGCCGAAACTGAAAGGGGGGACGGTAGCAGCACCCGTTCACATTTCAAGTGACAGCGTAAACTTGTTTGAAGCACCAAAGACCATTGACTCTTGACCAGACGAAGAGGGCCGAGTGCGTGAAGTCCTTGGACGGTGGTGGCACACTCATCCTTGCAGAAAGATGCCTTCTCAATGATTTCACGTGGCCGGCCTGTGGGGTGACCAGCAAATGGCACAGCAGCAATGAGCTCAAGTCTACAGGTGATTCGGTCAATGCAGAGTTTGTCTCCGGCTACTCCAGTGTCCTCTTGCATGCCAAACGAATACGTGTATGGAATTGGCCAAATATCCAAATATTTATGCTGGAGGAATCCGATGAGCTGCGAAGCAGGGGACCCCCTTGTGATGAACAAAAGCGGGGCTTTCCTGCCCATTGAAAGGGGCATTATTCTCCGTAACCCGCTACTCAAACGGGACCCCCCCGCCCCCGATTGGAGCGATTCGTCAATCGAGCTGCCCATTGCGCCGTGTTAGTCTCAGGCGAGAGTTCAGAGAATCGATCGACCACGACGTGCCGCCCGTTGCACTCTTAAAAGTCGTTCAACCATCGACTTGCGCGCGGCGTACGGAGACCCAATGGTGGGGGGGGGGGGTCCTTACTGCTGGGAAGGGCAGGACCTGGGTACTCCTGGTGTGGGTCCTGGGCCAGTGCTCGGTGTGGTGGGAGCAGCTGATGGAGCTCACGGGAGGGGCGAGGAGGAGCTGCTGCCCGTCTCGCTCGTCGCAACCCGCCACTGCAAAGCTCACCGCCTTCAACATTCACCCTGCCTTGAGACGGGGGGGGGGGGGGGGGGACAAATGCCCGAGGCCCGCTGACGCTGTTGCGGGCAAACGGAATGATCTCTCCTTCGGAGCAGTTTGCCAAAATGAGGTGTTGAGCCCCCGTCGCCGTAGAGTTCTCCGGGTACGTCAGGGCGCTCCGGAACGCGAGGCGCGTCCCAAACTCGCGGCTCGTGGCGGCGACGTCGTAACAAATCTGTGACACGGCGTGCACGCCTGGCGCTGGTTCTACGGTGCCCCCCCCCACCTTCTGCTTCAAACAAAACCGGGGGGGAGGGGGGGCAATGCATCATGTTCACGAAGCATTCCGCGTCCAATTGTTGTTTTCTTCGGGCCAGGTGTAGCTCATGCAGGTGGTGAGTTTTGCTGCTTTGTGCTTATTGACCAATGCCAATGCAGTATATTTGAGATTTTTTTTTAGTGGAATTCTCACTCACGATGACCAATTGTTGGGGGGGGGGGGGAGGGCGCGGGGGGCATTCTTCAGACCCCTTCGAGCTGGAGACGTGTCGCCGGTGTTCGCGTACGTGGATGTTAGTGGCGTGTGTCTTGGTGTGGTCGGTCAAAAAGTTTTGAGAACGAGATGAAATATATTTTTCAAAATATATTATGCACAGCTCAAGACTCGTATAGTTTTTAAAGCAGTCACACTTGTATTGATAATACGTCGTTTTATATCATTTACTATTTGTGGGCTTCTCAATAAGCCTCGCAATAGATCTCCGCAACTTTTGATGTGTGTGTGTATATATATTGGGGTCTTATTCTCAAAACTTTTTGGTAGCCTTGTCTTTTTTTTTTACATAGCTATGATCGGACGTGCGGTGGGCGGGTTGGGGGGGGGAAACTAAAGATTTAAGTGGCATTAAGACTTTCTTGTTGCTTGGTTTGAGAATTAAATCCTCTTTTCTCCTCCTCGGAGTCGGGGTGTTGGATGGTGCAGGACTCTCAACGGTGCGAGCCGCTCCAGTTTGCTCGCTGGCCACCAACGCTGATCGCTGTTGACGATGTGTGCGTGTGTATATGTATATATTAGCCCCAAATGTTCACGGTAGGCCTCGTCCGCTCCCTGGACGTGCTGCCGCAGTCCATTCTTAATTAGTTTTTAATACGGTACCATAACGCGCAGAGGACGGACGCACATTTCTATCATAAGAGGTTTTTTTTGGGTGAGATCGCGTAAATATATAAATGTGTCGTTAAACCCGCCACCACCCGACACAGCCAACTAGTAACGGTTGTCACGTGAACAGAAGGTGCCAATTCGTCACTAGTACAGCACACCGGTGTGTTGGAGAGCCAAGCCACAACATTTACAATCTGAGTACGACGTTTCGTCGGTAATTACAACTAGCTTCATCAGGCGACAGCCAGATTTGTGGAGTGGTCCACCTGTTTGTTTCACAACATCGAGCGATGAGCGATTTGAAGGATTTGATTTGGTTGTCGGTCCTTTTTATTTGATCGTTGAACACGTCGAAACGCTCGCTTGTCGAATTTGAAAAGTAATTGCCGGCCGGTGCAGCTCCTGCGTGTACGTGTAATTGACACGGAAATGATTTATCCACGTGCTTAGCTCCAAGTGACGGCAGTTAATGCGCCCCGCGGTGACGTGGGTTGGGTTGGGCGCACAGAGCACTGGGGGAAAAGCTGCCGCGTAACGCCCCTTGTTGGCCACGGGTGAGCATCAACGGGAACAACTTGGCTTGCTTTGGGTACGCACCTACCAGCTTCGGGGGTCTGTCGAGAAAAGATTGCAGTTAATCCCATGGTGATGGCAAGTGTCCCAAATACCTTCGGCGTTAGTATTTGCTGGTTATTATTTTTGTGTCTCGGCTAAAATAACAAAAATTCCACTCCGCTTGGACTTTCCTAAAGTAGGAAAACATTGACAAAACAAATTAGAACTATATTTGCCTTTTC